TTCATGGACGACACCTCCAGCTTTTCCTGCCGCCGCCACTTGGCGCGTCGGTTCTGGAACCACACCTGCGGAAGGCAGCACGGCGCCGTCAGGCTGCGGCGGGGGCGGGACTCCCCATCCCCAAGTAAACTGGGGCTCGACTCTTTCACCTGCTGCTTTCACTACCCTCTCCTGCTTCCCGTCAGCATTAACCTTCTTTCTTTCCTGTTTTCTGCCGTCTCCTCCCTCCTCTCTCGATTCCTCTGAGTCTCTTTGTCCCATCCCTGTTCTCCGTGGTGAGTTCCCACCCTTGTCCCTGTTTGCCTCACCCTTAGCTGTGGCTGGATCCGTTTCCTACTCGGGGCACGGAGCAGGTGCTCAGGAAAAAAAAGCGAAGTTAACCCTGGAATTGGACCGTGGGACCTGGGAAACCAGATCTCACCAAATTTCTGTGATCTGCTGGTTGGCAGCCCATCCTGACACTTGACTTTAAACCTTGCTTCCTTCCCCGTGTGGTAGAATTTCCACGAATTACTGGTTATAACTGGTAGAACAAAGTAGGCTTATTCTATCCCAAGCAATATTTAAATATGCATATTATTGCTTTAATAAGATTTTCATTCGTATTTAATCGAAATCCGATTAGTATTTCTGATGTCTCTTATAAATGGTTTTCAATGATTACAATAGTTCAAGTTTAATAATCTACTTTTGCTGTATGGTGTTAGTTATGACATTACCCCAAGATGAGTTCAATAAGTTCAAGCTTTTCCTTTTTTTTTTTCTTTACATATAGAAAGTCCACACCAAGAGTAAAGTCTGGTCTCCAAACACTGAAACTTCCATTACTAATTTGATAAAAGCACAAGAAATGGTGTAATTAAGGTTTCACCACCAACTTACCACCCCCACGAATAAAACAGAGAGAACTGGTCTAGTGGAGAATCTAGAAAGAACTTTGGCCAAACTGGTGGCTTCATTGTTAAATTTATGAAGGAAGATGTGGGACTTGTTGCCACCTCAAAAGGGAGAGAGCAGTTGTGTCAATAATAGAGAGTCCTCCTAGGAGAACTGAGAAAAAGCCATTTAGCACCTGAGCAGAGCAGGACAACTGTGTGCAAGGCTGGGGTTTGGGGAGAAAAGGGAAAGAACAAAAATGTAGGTACCTCTCTCTACAAAAGATTTATCTTCGTATCTGAGGCCCTGATTCCCCCAGAAATGTTAGCTATATAGAGAAACACTGGTGAGGATGAGGGCTCCCTTCCTCCCCACCCCTCCATGTCCCACTCCATCCCCCAAAATATCAGCTATAGGCTTCAGATCCTATCCCAAGTCAGAAGGCTATAGACTGGGAGAGCCCGCTTTTATACTGCTCTACTGCTGTCCTTAACACAGTGGGAGACCCTGCCTACCACACCCCGTCTGATTACATCATGGCCATGTGTTAAGAATCTGCCATATGCTGGGCACTGTGTTTGCCCTGTGATCGCAGAGACACTGTTCTCAAGAAGCACACATCTTAGAGAAGAAGCAAAAATCCCTGAACAAGCAAAGAGGGATGAAGGAAGGTGGGACAGAGGTGAGAAGGCAGCCCCAACCCTGATTTGGCTACGCCTATAACCTGGAGGGGCACTGGAGGGCTTTGTCTTTTTCCTCTGTTTTCATCTCCCACTGGTTTTCTTTCCCTCTCCCTACCCCAGCCTCCCTCCCTGAAAAGCAGGTGGTAAAATGTCCACCCCATCAATGAAATCATTGCAGCTTTACTACCCCAAATTAGGAGACACTGAACTGTCCTTACCGATTAATCCCGAGTCACATTAGGGAACTTTTTTTTTAACCATGACATACACTCATTACATTAACCCCTTAAACTAAGCAGAAAAGACAAAAGGCAAGAGCCTGTTTGCTTTTACTTTTAAGACAAAGCTAAAAGCTCCAAACATCTGAGTGTCCTCACTTCCTGAAAAATCAAATGCATTAGACACACACACACATATCCCATCCTGGTTCCAATGCCTTTCAGATGCAGTGAAATTTGTTCCCAATGTCTACCTTTCAGGCCTCTGTAAACTCTCCCAATTTGGAAATCCTCCCAGATTTTTCACAGATGACTAGCAAATATTTAAGGCTTTCAAATATTTTAATGATCAGGGATTAAAGATAATTCAGCTTTAATTAAAGCGAAAACCCCTTTAAATAAAAAAGAAAAGGCCTCTGCAGCAGCGGGAAGTTTGGCTGGATGTGCACCAGGGAAGCAAAAGTCAATTTCTTAAACAAATCCGCGGAAAGTTTCAACCGTGAGGCGCCAGAACCCTCGTAAGTAGACGGGTTTTGGTTTTCAATGCGGTGAGTGCAGTTAGTGACTAGGGTGTCATCTGGAGCCCCAATCTGGTTACCCTCCAGATTGGGGCTGCCTACAGCCCCTCTCCACTCAGTGCTTCTCACCTTCCCCCTGCATTTCCTCCCCAATCCTGGATGCTGTTGCCTCTTCAAGTTGCCAACCATTCCCAATTTATCTCTTTAGCTTAGACGAGGGAGACCCCAAAGGGGAGATGCTACTATAAATTGGAACAGACTGTTGGAGGGACGGTGCATGAGGCACGTGGAAGATATGTGACGCTCCTATGCGGCCCCGGGCGAACCAAGTGGAGGAAGGCCCACGGGGAAAGTGCCATGATAAAGGCCTGGATGCCCTGGAGTTCAAGGGAGCACTGGCTGACGCTTGAACTTCCAGCCCTCCCGGGGGCCCATCTGGACGCTTTACCTGGACCCGGACCTCGGGTAAGTTGACCTTGCCGGCCAGCTCCTCGCGACTGTACACGTCGGGGTAGTGGGACTTCTCGAACGCGCGCTCCAGCTCGTGCAGCTGGTATGTGGTGAAGGTTGTGCGGTTCCGTCGGTGCTTCTTTTTGGGCTGCTCCTCTTCTGACAGCTTCGTGTCGCCGGAGGCGGCGGGTCCCACAGGCAGCCCAGGGCTCGGCCGTGCCTCCCCTGTCTCCTTGGGGCAGTAGGGGCGAGGGGCTGGGACGACCAGACCCCAGACGGTCAGAGACACTCCCCGGAGTGTCCCGGGACCCACCTTGCCTACCCAAGCGGGCTGTGAGATGGCCCAGGGAGGTCGGAGTTGAGGGCTGCGACAGGCTCCTGAGCTTTCTCTGAACCCAAGTTGGAAGCTCCTGCGGTGCACACAGCCCCCACCCCGGCGCCCAGATGCCTTAATAAAAGTTAAGGCAGGGGCATTCTCCTCTTGCAGAGCTTCTAAGTTTGGGCGCCCTAAGGGCCTCGGAGCAGCCAGGGTGCGCACTCACCTTCGTACTCGGGAGCGGGCGCCGGGGCGGGCGGCGGAGAGGGCTCCGCACCTCCTGCAGGCGCCTTGGGACAGGCGGTCCTCGCGCTCGGCCTCCTATCCCGCTCCTTCGCGCCCCGGGCGCCCCGCTCCTCCGGGAAGGAGCCGAGGATCCCGTCATCCTTGGTAAATCCCAGGATGGCTTCGATGCTATGCAGCCGCGAGGTACTCCCGCCCGGGCTGCGGAGCAGGTGGCCGGCCAGCGAGAAGCTGCCGTCGGCCATGGCGGGGGCGCAGCCGGGCAGGTGCATGGGGAGTGTCTGGACGCGGGAGGGCGCGGCTCGCGCTCTCGGTAGCGCCGCCTGCTTAGAAGACCGACAGAAGTGGCTCCAAGGCAGCTCCTCCCGGTTGCGACCGTCCAACCCGAGGGGTCCCGCTCCAAAATCAAGTTACACGGGCGACGCCGGCCCGGGCTGCGCGCGCTATAGGTGGGCGAGCGCTCGGCCCGCGGCTGCCTGGGTCCGGGCAGGAGTCGGAGGTCCGACTCCCGGTGGCTGGGGCTCTGGGCGCTAAAGGCTCGGAGCCCGCTCTCCCCAGCTCCTCCCCTTTCTCCGGGGGACCCAGCCTCTTCCCTGATCCCTCCCCCCACAGCGGGGCGGGTCCTTCCCTCGCCCAGTCTCAGGGTCTTCGCCCTGCCACCCCTGGGGTGGGGCGCACTCTTTACATCCCCCCTCCCCCCTCTTGATCCGCTAGGAACACTGGCGAGCGCGCCGGGGACCAGCGGTGGCATGTTTGACGTGCCGGGGACCCGGTTTCGGGGGCCGCTCACTCCAGTCCTGCCTCAGTGGAGCAGACGCCCTTGGTCCCACCTCTCCCTCCGGCTTGCCTCTCTCCTTGGGCTCATCTCCCCGACCCCAGGCTCGCCTTCTGCCCCAAGGCTCGCTGAGCGCCTGGGGCGACCCTTGGAAAGACTGAGTGAGGCTACCTGTCTTTACAGCATTGGAAGTCAGTCCACGCTTCTTCCCAGTTAGAATTTTCCGTTCTCTTCCGGCCCTGTACTTCGGGTTTATTTTGTTTGTCTATATCTGATTTAACTGCTCCTCCCTGTCCCCTGGAACTTGCGCACTCGGAGGCTCCCTGACTCCGGCACCCGCCCCTGGGGGCAGTGAGGCCATCTGTGCCCGTAGGCCTGGTGACCTCAAGTGTCCGACGGCCCAGCAGGAGGCTGGGAGGCGCCGAGTCGGACACGCTGCCGGGCTCAAGCCTGCGGGAGACCCTCTAGGGGTTCCTCACTCTCGCAGACTATTTGTCCTGAGGGAATCCTCCTAACCCGCTCCACCTCCAGGGCAAGGAGATGACCTAACCTCAGGCTTAGTGGGAACGGGCCTTCCTCTGGAGGCAAGGCCTCACGCTTCTCCGGGGGCCACAGGCTTAATCTGCTGGCATTTCTTTCCCCTTTGGGGACCCCATGAGGCTTCCGTGGCCTGGCGTGACTCATAGGCCAAGTGGAAAGATGTTTTCTGCGAGCGAATGTTCTTTTCACATTCCCCCAGTTCTGTGCACTGTGAACACCAGCACTTCCGGTGCCAGACCCGACGCAGTCCCTGGCCCTCACTGAACTGTTGGGGGAAAGTGAACCAAAATGCCTTCCTAAAAGGCTAAGGACCTAGAGTTTCTTTTTGTTTTCTTTCCTCATTTTATTGAGATATAGCACTGTATAAGTTTAAAGTGTGCAGCTTAACGATATATATACATA